TCATTCAAATTTTGAACATGTAATGCTACTATTAGTAAAAATAAGTAATTAATGTAAAGTTGTGTAAAGATTACTAAACCTTGTATACTTGAAAAGATTGAAACAGTTCATAGAAGTCATTTGTTTCTCTTTTATTTAAAATGTAGCAAGTTTCTAATTTTAAAGACATACATATTAAGAGATGCCTTTACTTTTTTTATTTTTAGTTATTATGGATACATAATAGTTGTGCATATTTATAGGTGACATGTAGTACTTTTATAGAAGCTACAATGTGTGATGATCAAATCAGGGTAATTCAGATATCTGTCCACTTCATTTATTTATTTATTTATTTATTTTTTTTTTTTTGAGACGGAGTCTCGCTCTGTTGCCCAGGCTGGAGTGCAGTGGCGTGATCTCAGCTCACTGCAAGCTCCACCTCTCGGGTTCACGCCATTCTCCTGCCTCAGCCCTGAGTAGGCTGGGACCACAGGCACCCGCCACCCGCGCCCAGCTAATTTTTTGTATTTTTGCTAGAGACGGGGTTTCACCGTGTTAGCCAGGATGGTCTCGATCTCCTGACCTCGTGATCCGCCCGCCTCGGCCTCCCAAAGTGCTGGAATTACAGGCTTGAGCCACCGCGCCTGGCCAGATATTCGTCACTTCAAACATTTATAATTTCTTTGTGTTAAGAACATTTTAATTTCATTCTTTTAGTTATTCTGAATTATATAATAAATTATAGTCACCCTATTGTGCTGTTGGACACTACAATTTATTCTATCTAACTGTATTTTTGTACCTGTTAACCTTTCCCTCTTTGTCCCTCCTTCCCTGCTCCCCTTCCCAGCCTCTTAACCATCATTGCAAGAGATGCCTATGTAAATCTTTTTCAGATTTTCAAAAGGAGCACACACATTTGGTAAAGCACTCTAACTAGTGCAGGGTACACACAGTGCACATTTTCTCTTACCTTGCTCTAACCGCTGGTCTCTCAGGGCCCTGCAGAGCAGTATCCTTCCAGATACATATAAACACACATGCCACCCTTTAAAAACACAAATGGTAGCTTATTTTACACGCTATTCTATGCTTTGCTTTTTTCCTGTAATGTATCTTGGAGGTATATAATCAGTAAGTACTGTAGCTCTGCCTCCTTCTTTTTAATATAATATTCCGTTCTATGGATGCACCATAATTTATTTAGCCTAGCTTATGTTGATTGCTCTGCTCTGGGTTGTCAGAGCCTCCTGACTATGGCAAAGGCTCACACAGCACGTGGATTTGGGTGTGTACGTGCGTGTGTGGATTAGGGGAGTAACATTGGCTTAGATGACAAAGATTGGCAGCTGAGGGACTGTTTGCTCCCTGTTCTTCCTGACCCTACAACCAGCTGCTTGCCCCTTGGCACTCTGTGGCATCAGATGTGGTGTGAGGATTTTCCACCTGTTCTTCGAGCTGGTCCAGTGTTGCTGGAGAGCTCTGCTTGCTGCCTCGGTCTGCAGTGGCAGTTGTGCTTTCCTGCAAGCCCAACTTCATATATTCTGTGGTTTTGGGTTTTGAATATTTCCTAGTGTAATCAAAGGTGGGCATTTCTGTGTCCATTTTGTGTTATTTTCAGTTATCCATGGAAAGATAAGAACAGAACTATCTTTAATATTAAAACTAGAAGTTTCCAGGAATCAATTCTGAAATTATTTTGCATCTTTGAAGTGTCTTAAATTTAAAAAATTGGTCTTATCTGTTTATATTTTCTTATAGACTGCCATTCATCATAATCTTACTGTTTTTTGACTTAATTCTAAACTGGCAGCTGTTTAAAAAAATTTCTGAGCAATTGAGTTATACAAATTAACATACAAGATAGAGGTGTACACTGCATACTTCCTAGCAAAAAACAGATGTGTGTGTGTGTGTGTGTGTGTGTGTGTGTGTGTGAGGAGCTTGAAAGAAGAGGTTGGTTTTCTGTACCTATTTAATATATTTCATTGATTATCACCTTCTTCCCATTCTTTGGGTGTCAGAGACCTGTTATTTGGCTTAAAAATATATTATAGAAAACTTCATTTTTTAAAATTAGGATTTCTTAGGTAAGGGCCAGGTTAGACCCAGCCTTTTCTGAGTTACTTCTCACGCATTAGAATTCTTAAAATGGAAGTTTATATCCTAGTGGGCATTGTCTTACGGTTGCCCTTTAGAGCAAGTCAGAGGGTGGTGGTTTCTCTGGGGGATGCCTGTGTAGTCATTTGATTTAGTCTGCAGTGGGACTTTTCTGTCGAGGGCCAGATAGTAAATATTTTCGGCTTTGTGGATCATGTCTTTTGCAGCTACTTAGCTCTGCAGTTGTAGTGCACAGGCAGCCATAGACAATATGTAAATGAATTAATGTGGCTGTGTTCCAATAAAACTTTAGTTACAAACACAGGTGATGGGTGGATTTGGCATGTGGGCCAGTTGCCAACCCCTAGTGTAAGTGGTCTGTTTTGGTAGTTTCTTTGAGAAATGGTGTGTTCTGCTTGTAGGGACTGATGCTTATAGATGCCAGCTTTGGGTTTGAAATGGAAATGTTTACGTTTCTAAACATCTGTCAAGTACATGGCTTTCCTAAAATTATGGGAGTTCTCACCCACCTCGACTCCTTCAAGCATAATGAAGAAACGGGAGAAGATAAAGAAGCGATTAAAACACAGGTTCTGGACAGAAGTTTACCCGGTAGGAAGAGAAATAATTGTTAGACACCAGCAGTATAATCCTTTTAAAATAGACTGAAGAGGCCGGGCACAGTGACTCATGCCTGTAATCCCAGCACTTTGGGAGGCAGACTCGGGCGGATCACTTGAGGCCAGGAGTTTCGAGCTCAGGGCAATATGGCCAAACCCCGTCTCTACTAAAAATGCAAAAATTAGTTGGGTGTGGTGGTGCACGCCTGTAATTCCAGCTACTCGGGAGGCTGAGATGTGAGAATTGCTTGAAGCTGGAAGGCAGAGGGTGCAGTGAGCTGAGATTGCACCACTGCACTCCAGCCTGGGTGACACAGTGAGACTCCGCCTCAAACAAACAAACAAAAAGACTGAAGAGACGTTGCTAAACATCTCTAGAATTTGCCTCCTGAATCCCCATTGTGTATGTGTTTCCAGTCTCTGGAAGTTATCCCTCAAGAGAGCGCTTATTCTGGGCCTCTTGGTGTCTCATTTGTCTCTGTACCTGCTGCACCAGGCAGTGTCTGGGTGTTTAGGGTGGGGACTTAATAGAGTACATCAGAAGTTTCTCCCAGTTACAGGACCAGGCACTGCCCTTCCTTTCCATACTGCTCTGGTCCATCGGCCACAGAACCGTTTCTGTGCTCAGAGGCCTCACCTCCCCCTCCTCACCATACTTAAATGGATGCCCCTCCTCGGCTGCAGTGCGGTCTGCCTCTATGGGGTTCTAATAAGTTCTGAAAGAAGCCAGCAAGGCTCTGGAAGCCTCAGGACAGTGGCTTTGCTGGAAGTCTCCCTTCTTAGGATTATTGCTTGTTTAGAGCTTTTATTTTGTTGCAGTATTGACGAGAATTTAATTGAAATTTAATTTTTAATTTTCCTTTAATGTTTAGGGTACCAAGCTGTTCTACCTTTCTGGAATAGTGCATGGAGAATATCAAAACCAAGAAATGCACAATCTGGGCCATTTTATTACAGTTATGAAGTTTAGGCCTCTCACATGGCAAACTTCTCACCCTTATATCCTGGCAGACAGGTAAAAAGCGACTGTAAACTTTTTCTTCCTGGGCCATATATTTCAAAGCTAAAAAGGCTAGAAAAAGAACAGTGATAGGATTTATTTTGTGCCTATTTGAATAGTCGGAGGTAGAAGTGTAGTTGATGGAAAATGTCTACTTATATCATTGCTCAAAGATGCTGTGCCTTTAGGAGTAAATTAACTATGAGAAATTTAGGACAATGGGAGGACTTGCAAGAATTTAAGGCTACAGGATGTGGCCCCATCCTACGTTCATCCTCAGTTTTCAGTGATGCTGCCTTCGTGTCCGGGTGCTTGAGTCCTCGTGTGTGCCTTCAGTTTCCTTCCTTTGTTCTCTTCTTTGTGCTGTGGTTTTCTCAGCCTGGAATACCCTTTCTCCACCTGCCAGAATCCAAACCACAGCAAAAATCCCAGAGCACAGGCTCACCCTCTTCCAGAAAGGATTTTCTGAATATGTTCTTCACTCCTCCCTGACCCCAGGTGGACGTCATCTCCCTGTCTGGTGTCTTCCGGAATGAATGTCACTTTCAGCCTAGAGACACAGTTTTGTGCCTGCCCCCTTTCCTCTGCTGGATGGTGAATGGTGCTTCCTTATTTCTGCATTGTCTAGTTTTCTAAATGACATGCTGGGTGGACAAGAGTGTGATGAGTCATTGACACATGAAAGGAAGTACAGGAACTTTTGGCATTGATTTCTGCTGTATGATTGAGTTTATTTTTCTAGGATGGAAGATTTGACAAACCCAGAGGATATCCAAACAAACATGAAATGTGACCGTCAGGTGTCACTTTATGGTTATTTAAGAGGAGCACACTTGAAAAATAAAAGCCAAATTCACGTGGCAGGTATTCTCTTGTTGTAGAACATACTAGAATTACACATAGGATTCTTGGGATGGCTTCATTTCTCAGGAAAACTGAAAAATGACCATATAAGGGAAGATGACCTTGCTGGAGGTTTTAAAAGTAAGCCAGCTATATGTAGGCCTGCAAAGGTGTTACCAAATCCCCTCTTCTCTGACCTCTTGTCTTGTAGCTAGAGGGACACTATTCCCGTGTGGCATGATGCACTTCTTTAGGGTCATGGGTTAAGCCCTTGGACTGTGGATCGTTGTTAACCCCCAAGTCAACAGTAGATACTTACTGACTTCCTGTCAGCTGAAGCTGGCTTTTTGGGTTCTGTCTTCCAGGAATAGAAGATTTTGCCATGAGTGACATCAGTTTCCTCCCAGACCCTTGTGCTCTTCCTGAACAATGAAAGAAGCGCTGTTTAAATGAGAAGGAGAAGCTGGTTTATGCGCCTCTTTCTGGAGTTGGGCGAGTGCTGTATGACAAAGACGCTGTCTATGTTTCCTTGGTGGCAGCCATGGTTTTCAGGCATCGGTGAGACGGGGGTCATTGCTCTGAACTCTCATTATTCTTTCCGAGTCTATTTTTTAATCAAAACAAGTAATGTACTCAGCTTTTATTTATTGAAGATTTTTCTCTTGTACTTATAATAAAGGCCCAAATGCATATTGTAAATATGTAGAATAAAAAGAATACCTTTTTTTCATTGTACCAAACAGAAGAGTCCTGTCCTGCATGCCTCCTTGATCCGTGGCCCCAGCGCGGGCCCTGCTGCCAGTGTGGCACCTGCACGGCTTATCTCCGTTTCTACAAAACCAGTGTGCTTGCCAGCTCTCATTGGTCTTTTTCTTTTTCTCATTCACAATGGTCTCCTCATTCTTTATTTTAAAGCGGATTTCCAATATTTATTTCTTAGTTCTCAAGTGGAATTTTATTGGGTTAAAATCAGGGTTATTTAAAAATGTTAGAAAAGCTAGCACTGTTGTAGCACTGGAACTGAGATTTTTCTAGCTAGGTGTTTAGGGTTTAGGTTATCAGGTTATATACTCACTGAGCTTTGGAAAAGTTTAATGGAGATGGGGATCCATTTCAAGCTTTGTTGTAAGGATTTTCTTCTCTGGTTTTTGGGGCCTTAGGAAAGGTTCTCAGGAAATATGTCTAAGATAATTTTGAAAGCTGAGTGAAACCAGTGTCTCTCCAGGATCTTTGTGCTTTCCTCACATGCCCTTTCTTGGTGGTGTTGACGAGGTGGGGCCCACCCATGAGCTGGTCCAGAGTCTCATCTCTACCCACTCCACCATTGATGCCAAGGTGGCTTCAAGTCAGATGATGCTGTTTTCTGATTCCAAGCCACTTGGGTCAGAGGCTATAGATAATCAAGGGGAAGTCTGCTTTTTTTCTATTTTTAATGAAAAGATGTATTACAGAAGATCATATCACCCATAATTCTGCCATCGTAACACATTTTGGTGGGATTCACTCTATGTTGTTTTGTTTTTCTTTGTGTATGCATGTGTCTCTGAGGGCTCTTCACTTACCTGACATTACGAGGGAGTCTGTTCTAGAAATAAAATACAGGATGCATTTTTCAACAGACCCCAAATGTTCCTTAAATACCACGCCATCTTCCATAGGTTGCTTTTTTGTTTTTTAAGAGACCTGAGGCCACTTGGCTTTCTTTTGGTGGCCGAAACACTAGAGCAGAGTCAGGGAGTTTGTGGCTGTCCAGAAGCCACATGCCTTGTCACTGAAAGTTTTATTTAGATTATGTTGTATTATCTCCCATGGGTAAGTTTCCACTGATGTATGGCTTATGTGAATTATTTTTCAGCCTGGGTTAAGAATTTGTGTACCTTTATGCTTAGTGGATGTTTGCAAAACATTGGTTTTGTTGTATTGATTTATGATTCCCAGTAAAATTTATCTGATAATTTTGAGATAATCTAGTATGTAATTTGTTACAATGTGCATAAACTACCTACCGCAGTGCCTGAGATAACGAGTGTTATTAGCTATTTTCATTTTTGCATATCCTTCTAGTTATCCTTGTATACAAGAATACTCTCTTCTAATATAGTTACAGGTAAAATACATAATTTTATTTCTATATTCTGAGCATTTTTTTTTTCTTGACAGGGTCTTTATGTAGTCATGATTTTGTTGTTGCCGGTGTTGTTTTTGTATTGTGGTTCTTTGTTTTTGTTTTTGTTTTGAGATAAGGTTCTCACTTTGTCGTCCCAGGCTGGAGTGCAGTGGCGTGATCTTGGCTCACTGCAGCCTTGAACTCCCATGGCCAGTGATCCTCCTGCTTCAGCCCCACAAGTACCTGGGATTACAAGAGTACACCACCAGTCCAAGCTAATTTTTTTTGTTTTGTTCTAGGGACGAGTTCTCATTATGTTGCCTAGGCTGGTCTCGAACTCCTAGGTTCAAGCAATCCTCCCGCCTTGGCCTCCCACAATCCTGGGATTACAGATGTGAGCCACTATGCCTGGCCTATTATTCCTGTATTCTAACTTATCCATCTCTTATGGTATGATTTTTAGTTTTTTCTAATTTATGTTTTCATATTTTTATCTGTTGTGCTTCGCATAGTTTTCTTTCATCCGGTAATTTTAGCCTCCTTATGATCTTCTCTATCAGTTATGGCACTGGTGACTTAAACTGGATGTTCTTCCTCTGTCATTCCTCCTACATTTGTTAGCTGGAATTTTTAGCAAAGAGCTTTCAATTCTTCCCTTTATTTTGGTATCACTGCTGACTAATGCACTTGCGTTTTATTCCATGGGTTATTTTCCATCACTGTCATTGTTCTTTCTGATGCCTATGCTGTCCCAGATTCGGCCACGGGAGCCTTCAGCCTGTCTCCTGTGTCCTCTCAACTGTCTTTGTTAGTCTTGAGCATTTCTTCCTTTCTGACAGAACAAGAGGATCCAGGCTCATTTTGCCCTCTTTCTGCCTTGGGCCTGGACTCAGCCATTTCTCTTAAGGATCATGTGCTTTTAGCTTAGAAATTAATCAGCTTTCCAAAAGATCTACAAAACACTAACTTCCCTGTTGAGCAATTTTTTTCTAAAATTAGATTTTTTTTAAAGGATTATTCCTTTATTCTTTCTATAAGTTCTTTTGAAGTGTGGCGTTAGGGAACCATGCCTAAGTTTGCTTATTAACTCTTCCAGTGTTTATCAGATCATTTTTTCACCCTGCTATGTCATCTTAAACATCTTAAACAATTCCTTGACATTTTCTGTTTCTTTGTATTTTCATTGACTATATTGCCATTTCTAGATGAGCTGATCAATGTACAAATTGAATTATTTTGCGTTTCCTTGGTAATATAGGCTGTTGATGCCAAAGGAGGAAAAACAAATGGACTTGAAAACTGGTTGAATGTGTCGGAAAGCCATTTTGGGAGATGATTCTATGCTAACATCCTCTCTCCTTTCTTGGTCTTTTAATTTTTTTTTCTTACCCAGATATATACAGGTTGATTTTGTCTTTCTAGAAGATCCAAGATCTTTGGTTTAGAGATATGTTCTCTTAATGTTAATTGATATTAGAATACTCTTTTCTGTACTTTATTTCAACACATTTTAAGAATAGAAATGATTGTATTTTCTTTTAACTTGTGAAGTAGAGCATGACATACAAATGTTGTATTCTCAGTATTTCAAAAACTTTCCTTCTTACTGTACAAGTTGTATTCAGGATATAAAGTCCATCCAGCTTTGTTGTAGATGCAGTGTGATTATTACATGTTGATAAGGTATGAATTGGAGATGGGATCCAAAAGTACTGTACTTATTGTAATTTTTAAGCTAATTTTAGGTTTGGTGGTGAATATTTTGCTTCTGCAAAATGCAAACAGCATTTCATCAGAAGCTGTTTTATGGTCTTTCAGACATTTTGTTTTATATCTTTGGTGCTTTTTGCCCATGAAGTATCTCTTTTGTGTGTTTGTGTGTGTGTATTGATCTGCCTCGAAATTTCACAGCGCTCATTGTCAGGGATCAGCAGAATCAGGCCTAGGCAGAGAACTGAGCAGTACTCTCAGTATGTCTCTGTGTCTCGGTTGCCACATTATCTCTGTTGTTTATTAATAAATTGGAGAACTCTCTGACTTGTAACAAAGGTTGAATAGATCAGAGACAATTGGAAGAGGAATCCTCTACTCTATTGTCACCTCTTCTTTTTCTATTCACACATGTCAGATAGAGACATGTGTGCTGTAAATTATTTTGTCAGAATGAAAGCCTGGCCAATTAAATGCTTTCTTCCTACCGTACTTAATGTCGATCTCTTGTTCATTTCTTGGTAATATATTTGGTTATTTATGTTTTCATTGCTTTTAGTGTCAGAGATGGCTTTGGATTCCCAGTTCTCTGTGTTCCTGTCTAGCTCCCGAACCCAGCTGGAGAGGTGAGTCAATCCCAACTGGTGAAGTACTGAGAGGAAGCTACACAAAAAGCAGCAAGGTGTTAATAAGTGTACCTCTGACATTTCAGCCACCTCTGACTTTTCCATGGAATGGACAAGTAGTAGTCTCTGTCGGAACTACATTTTAAAGAAAAAAAGAAACTTGAAGTCGTAAACTGTTTATTAATTTATGCTGTTATTTTTGTGTTTACTCAACTCATTTATATTGACTTGTAAATTAGCAATTTATGAACTACTATTTAGCAATTCATTGCCTACATGTCAGCAAGCAAATTTTGTTCTTAATAAAGAATCTAGTGACTGGGCACAATAGTTCATACCTGTAATCTCAGCACATTGGGAGGGCAAGGCAGGAGGATTCCTTGAGGCCAGGAGTTCAAGACCAGCCTGGGCAACATAGCAAGATTTCATCTCTACAAAAAAAAGAAAACATTGGCTGGGCATGGTGCCTCATTCCTGTAGTTCAGGCCACTCAGGAGCCTCAGGTAGGAGGATCATGTGAACCCAGGAGTTTGAGGCTGCAGTGAACTACGATCCTAACACTGCTCTCCAGCCTGGGTGACAACCAAGACACCATCTCTTCAAAAAAGGAATCTAGGGGCATCAGTGTGTGCATGCAGCATGGCTTGTGAATGCGGAAGTGCATGTGTGCATAACTGTGCTCAAGAATGTGTTGATGATTATAACTTCTCAGAATGAAGATAATTTTTTTTTTTTTTTTGTGAGAGAGAATCTCGCTCTGTCATCCAGGCTAGAGTGCAGTGGCACAATCTTGGCTCACTGCAACCTCCGCCTCCTGGATTCAAGCAATTCTCCTGCCTCAGCCTCCCAAGTAGCTGGGATTACAGACGCCCACCACCACGCCCGGCTAATTTTTGTGGTTTTTTTTCAGTAGAGACGAGGTTTCACTAGGTAGGTGAAGCTGGTCTCGAACTCCTGACCTCAAATGATCTGCCCACCTCGGCCCCCCAAAGTGGTGGGATTACAGGCATGAGCCACTGCGCCCAGCCTGTTTATTCTCTTAAGAGGGAAAATGAGGGGATTAATGGACTGTGGTTCTGGACAAGGTGGAAAACTCTTAAAGTGGAAGTACTGGGGCAAGTGCTCTGACAGGCTAGGATGGTGTAGTCATTCCCTTCACCCAGAAATCAGTAGAATGTTAGCAGTTCAGACTCAAACCTTGTGAAAAATAGGTGGTGGAAAGGAAGTCCCTCGCAGCAACTGGCGCCATAATCAAGACAGAATGTTTTCAGAATAAATGGAGTTACTTGCTTTCAGCCCCAGGTGGTAGCTATTGTCTGCCCTGACGATAGGTGATATTAATTTGTGATCCTCTTGTCTTAAAATGGGGTCACACATCTCCAGTAGAAATAAGTCCACAGTGAAGTTGTCCCCTCATCCCCAAAGAGATAAACATATTTGAATGAACTGAAGTGATAAGATAACAACTACTGCTGCCTGGGATCATGAGAGACCTGAAATGAACTGATAGGAAGTGAAAGGTGGCTGAGATAATGAGAATAGACCCATCTGCAGAAGGATCAGTAAAGCCAGCTTAAAGGCAGCAAGGGGGTCTTGTCTAAGACATGCCCTTCAGAAGCTTTGTCCATGAGAGAACGTCTGAAGGTATGTCTCAGACCGTGTGTCTGGCTGCCCAAAAGGAGCCTGATGAATCCAAAGCTTTGGACCGCCACCTTCTGAGTACACTGGGGCTCTCGCCACCCATGGCTGTGGTTTTTTACTCCCCTTATCACTGCCTGTGTGTAGAATGATAATTGCATAATTAATAGTGTGAAGACCTCTTGATAAATGGCAAATCTGAACATCTGTATTTGGCTGACGTGTCATTGTGAAACCTCACAGCTTCAGTCAGTGTCAGCACAGCTAGGGAGTTTGTACATAATGCACATATCACTGGGCATAGTCTAGAGGCACCTACTAACTCAGGTACCTTAACAGTCACTAATGAGTATATCTCCAAGGAATAGTCCAACAACACATGACTGGCCTGACTCAAGGTAACTATGTGTCCAATCCAGGATCATAGTGAGTGGGCATCTGCCAACCAGGGGTCATTCCCCCTGCCTGCCATTGAGCAATTCAGAAGTGACTGGTATAAGCAGACATGAGTGAGCTTGCTGAATTCACTATTTGCCTCTTTGGAGGGGATCATACCCAGGACCTAGGTCATTGTGCCTTATCGGAGTCCTACACATTTCACTTGCAAATTATATTTGAAAATTAAATGACCATGTTGCAAGTCATTCACAAGACATTTTTAAAAATTGCATTCCAGAACCCATATTAACATCCAGTGACCTGTAGAAAGCAGTAGAGAAATGTATTAGGCAAAAAGTTCTGGCAAAGACCAGTCTGATACTGGCCTGATTACCCAACCTCAGGAATTAGCCACATCAACTCGAAGAGCGAAGAAAAATAAAAAGTACCAGATTTATTACTCAAGACATTAGGAACTGTCCGTTTAGATAGACGATTTTAGCTAATAAAATATTACAACGTCATCCTGAAGAATATGTCCCTCTTCCAGAGAACCCAGGAGGTTATCATGGCCCCTGGAAAGCCCGACCAGCAGTAACAGTGCAAGTGGCATAGGTGCATGAGTGCAGAAATATAATCTCTACTGAAAGTAAGTTTCATACTAGGCAAGAATTACAGGATATACATAGAACTTTTGCTCACAAAGTCAAATCAGATGTACAAATTCAATATGGTTTAGGAGTTAATGGTGGTAAATTCATCATGCTTATGGGAAGTGAAGTAGGACAAATGACTGGAATAGCAAGTAACTCCAGGATTAATGATGAATTAATTGCTAGAGCAGAAAATATCCAAGACCTTCCTGACTTATGGTGGGGATGGGTAAAGAAGTTGGATGAGATGATACCCAAACATGATTCCCAGGTTTACCTAAACAATGGAAGACTGTAAAAGATGCCATTAAGATATCTCAAGAATATGGAAGATTATTATTCGCTTCTCATGGGAAAGGACTTTATAGGGCACCTGAAAAAATTCCCAAGCAAAATCACTTTTACAAAATGTCAAGTTATGATATCCAAAATGAAACCAAAAAGTCACAACATTCACATAATACACTGTGCAACCCTGATCTCCTGACTGTCATAAAATGTTTCTTACCTCTAAACCAAAGTTTCATTTTATAATTTAATTTTTCTCATTTTTTCTGTTCTCTTAGCTTAGGAAAAGATCATTACAAACTTTTTGTATGTTTTTCATATATGCTTGCAAAGAATTGTAAAACTTTGTTGTGATTATTTTTCCTTTAAGGTGAAACTTCCCTAATCTTTCTTTAGAGATTGTGGCATAGCATGCTAGTTTCCTTTCCATATCCATTTGTTTTCTGTAATGAATACAGAAATACAAGCACTATTTTGTAACTTTAAATAGACATTATCTCAAGTCTACAAGAATTATCCAAAATGGTATCTAATGACATTTCTAGGTCCTCAGACACTTAACACAGATTGGAGCCTCTAGGTCTTGAAGATTTTACTAGATATTGGTTACTGAAACTGAGATTTCTTGAATTATTTTTCCTTCCACTGTGGTTTCCTGCATTTCAACATATCACCGAGTTTTGTCCTCAAACATTACTTAAATATTTTCCACAGAATTAAATTAAATATGAATCATCCCTCCTTCTCTGATTTTTGAAACAACGCTTTGTTTCCATTAATAATGATTCTTCTGGTCCGTTTTGTAGTTATATGTTAGAGTTTGTAAATATTCACACATTTTGCAATTGCACATAATTTTCTTATTTTTTCCTCTTCCTCTAAAGTTGCTGTTATTTCTTTTAACTTTTTGTGGGAAAAATTAAATCCATCTTTCACTTTGTTGATATGCTTATTTATAATTCAACTCCTTGATTTTTGCTCAAATTACTTTTCAAGTTACCCACTTTTAGGGAAGGCATTTTTTGGGTTTTGTTTAGTGTGTCAGGCTTTTTTTTAATTAGTTGTATCAAGAAGTGTAGACTTTTCTATACATAATATTCTTTTTTCCCACAGTTTTGTTTCGTTTTGTTTTTTTGAGACGGAGTCTCGCTCTGTTCCCCAGGCTAGAGTGCAGTGGCGCATCTCAGCTCACTGCAAGCTCCACCTCCTGGGTTCACGCCATTCTCCTGCCTCAGCCTCCCAAGTAGCTGGGACTACAGGTGCCCACCACCACGCCTGGCTAATTTTTTTGTATTTTTAGTAGAGATGGGGTTTCACCATGTTAGCCAGGATGTTCTCAATCTCCTGATCTCGTGATCTGCCGGCCTCGGCCTCCCAAAGTGCTGGGATTACAGGCGTGAGCCACCACGCTCCGCCTATATTCAACTTTTGATCAGAGAGTTCCATTTTAATGTGACACTGAGAGTAAAAAACTATCTTTTCTTCCTTACCCATTTCTCTTCCTACATTCTCTGCCAGGAGGAAGGCACCGCTACATACCCAGTCTTCACCAGCAGAGCCTGAGCAGGTCTGTTTTTCCTCTGCTTCCCCTCTTCTTTCACATCTCATGACCAAGCACTTCCTATTCTCTCTCCCAAATGATCACAGGTTTTTTCCTCCACTTTTGTCACTGCCACTGCCCTTAGCATTACTCTGCCTTTAGATAAAGTCTCTTAATTGCTCTGGTAGCTTCCTTCAGTTCTTCATTATACAGACCACTACACACACATCTGACAAGAGACTTCTCACCTTTTTATGATTCAATGACTGAAATTCCCAGAATAAAATTAAAACCACCCCAGCATCAAATTTGAGGTCAAATAGAGGTGGGTTTGTATCCCAGGTTCATACACTGTCCAGCAGTGTGGTCTCAGAAAACGGAACTCCTTAAGCCTTTGTGTATCTGCCTGCACTCATTGAGCATTGGGACTATTTCACACATACCATCCCTGGCATGTAGAAGGGACTTAATCAATGTTGAAAGAAGGGGAGGCATTTTAAAATCCACATCAAAAAGATGGTTTTTTGTCCAGGAGTGGTGGCTCACACCTGTAATCCCAGCACTTTGGGAGGCCAAGGCAGGTGGATCACCTGAGGTCAGGAGTTCCAGATCAGCCTGACCAACACGGTGAAACCCCATCTCTACTAAAAAGACAACCATTAGCTGAACATGGTGGTGGGCTCCGGCAATCCCAGCTACTTGAGAGACTTGGGCACTTGAATGAGAATCACTTGAACCCAGGAGTTGGAAATTGCAGTGAGCCAGGATTGTGTCACTGCCTGGGCAACAGAGTGAGACTCTGTCTCAAAAAAAAAAAAAAAAAAAGTTGTTTTAAAAATATATTAATCAGGCTGGGTGTGGTGGCTCATGCCTGTAGTCCCAGCACTTTGGGAGTCTGAGGCGGGTGGATCTCCTGAGGTTGGGAGTTCGAGACCAGCCTGATGAACATGGAGAAACCCCATTTCTACTAAAAATACAAAATTAGCCGGGCATGGTGGTGCATGCCTGTAATCCCAGTTACCTGGGAGGCTAAGGCAGGAGAATCACTTGAGCCTGGGTGGTGGAGGTTGCGGTGATCCAAGATTGCGCATTGCACTCCAGCCTGGGCAACAAGAGTGAAACTCCATCTCAAAAAAAAAATTGTGTTCAACAAGGTTGAAGTGTGTCCAGAATTGGTGGGTTCTTGGTCTCACTGACTTCAAGAATGAAGCTGCAGACCTTAGCGGTGATTGTTACAGCTCATAAAGACAGCATGGACCCAAAGAGTGAGCAGCAGCAAGATTTATTGCAAAGAGCAAAAGAACAAAGCTTCCACAGTGTTGAAGCAGACCCAAACCCACAAGGGTGGCCACTGGCTAGCTGGGGCAGCCTGCCTTTATTCCCTTATCTGGCCCACCCACATCCTGCTGATTGGCCCATTTTACAGAGAGCTGATTGGTCCATTTTACAGAGAGCTGATTGAACCATTTTGACAGGGTGCTGACTGGTGCATTTACAATCCCTGAGCTAGACACAGAGTGCTGATTGGTGCATTTACAATCCTCTAGCTGGACATAAAAGTTCTCCAAATCCCCACTAGGTTAGCTAGATACAGAGTACCGATTGGTGTATTTACAAAACTTGAGCTAGACACAGAGTACTGATTGGTGTATTTACAAACCCTGAGCTAGAAACAGAGTGCTGATTGGTGCATTTACAATTCCTTAGCTAGACATAAAGGTTCTCCAAGTCCCCACTAAACTCAGGAGCCCAGCTGGCTTCACCTAGTGAATCCCGCACAGGGGCTGCAGGCAGAACTGCCTGCTGGTGCCGCGCAGTGCGCCTGCACTCCTCAGCCCTTGGGCAGTCGTCGGGGAGGCTTGGGCTGAGCAGGAGCCCACTGGGGGGTGGGGAGAAATGGGGAGGCTTGGGCATGGCGGGCTGCAGGTTCCGAGCCCTGACCTGCGGGGAGACAGCTGAGTCGTGGCGAGCCGACACTGCTGGGGTACCCAGCGCACCCTCTGCAGCTGCTGGCCCAGGTGCTAAGCCCCTCACTGCCCAGGGCCAGCAGTGCCAGCCAACCACTCTTGAGTGCAGGGCCTGCCAAGCCCACACCGACCTGAAACTCGCGCTGGCCTGGGAGCAGCGTGCGTAGCCTTGGCCAGCCCAGAGGGGGGCTCCCACTATGACATGGCGGGCTGAAGGGCTCCTCACGCACTGCCAGAGTGGATGCCGAGGAGGAGGAGGTGCCGAGAGTGAGGGCTGCTAGCACGCTGTCACCTCTCAGAAGCATAAAAGGTTAATAGCCAGAATCATTTATCAATTGTATTTCTGTACATCTGCAAGACACAATCTGAAAATGAATTTAGAGAAACAATTTCATTGGGCAACAAGAGCAAAACTTCATCTCAAAAGATAATAATAATCTACAGTGCCACTTCCCGTCCAAGCTTGACTTCTACCTTTACTTTCTAATATGGTTTTGCTATGTCCCCACCCAAATCTCATCATGAATTGTAATCCCCATAATCCTTATGTGTCGAGGGAGGGGTCTGGGGGGAGGTGATTGGATCATGGGGGCAGTTTTCCTCATGCTGTCCTTGTGATATTCAGTAATCTCTGATGAGATCTTATAGGGTTTCATTTCGTTTTGTTTTTGGGGGATGGAGTCTTGCTCTGTTGCCCAGGCTGGAGTGCCCTGGCATGATCTTGGCTCACTGCAGCCTCTGCCTTCTGGGTTCCAGTGATTTTCCTGCCTCAGCCTCCTGAGTAGCTGGTATTACAGGCATGTACCACCACATCCAGCTAATTTTTGTATTTTTAGTAGAGATGGGATTTCACTACATTAGCTAGGCTAGTCTCGAACTCCTGACCTCAGTTGATCCACCTGCCTTGGCCTCCCAATGTGCTAGGGTTACAGGTGTGAGCCACTGTGCCCAGCTGAGATCTGATGGTTTTATACATGTTTGACGGTTGCTCCTTCACATGTTCACACTCTCTGTGTGGTGACCATGTAAGGCAGACCTGGTTCCCCTTCTGCCATGATTGTATGTTTCCTGAGGCCTCCCCCACCATCTGAAACTGTGAGTCAATTAAACCTCTTTCCTTTATAAATTACCCAACCTCAGGTATTTATATCAGTGTGAAAACAGACTAATATACTTTCTGATAATCATGCCTGAGGAATTGGGGGAATTCAGACTACCTGGGATAAAATTGTGGCCCCACCCTTAGCAGTCATGTGACCTTTGGGAGGTTACTTACCTTCTCCATCTCAACTTATTCTGTAAAATCTGTAAAATGAGATTGTTTCTGAGGGTTAAATGAGCGTAGCACAGTGGGGACACTGTCAGGCACACACTACTTGTCAGATGTCGAGTATTCATCTTTATTAAATTAGGACTGTGGTAACCCACTTTATGGCTCTCAATTTTGTATGACAAAATCATGCTTAGTGCTTTGTTAGTAAAAGAAAGAAAATCTGAAAGTCCCTGCCGTGGAAGGAAGAAATAGCGGGGAGAAAAGGGAGTTGGTAAGTTTCACCATTTTAGAGCTTGGAGGGACAAGTTAGGTTTCTATTTTGTGGAGAAGGAGGTGGAGGCAGGATGGGTCCTAAGGTGTCATTCAAGACACACAGCCATAACTCTTTACTGAGAATAGAGCTAGGGCCCCAGGGATTGCTGTGGTCAATTTGCAGACAAAAACGACCACTCATTGGAAGACAGGAGAGGAGTGTTTAGTTACAAAAGCAGTCAGCCATTCAGGTGTATCTACAGTCAGTCAGCAAATAAAAGTTGTTCAGCTTGGTTGCTAATGGGACCCACTCTACCGAGGCTTTGTGTAGAACTCATAGAGGAAGATGGTTTCAAGTAACCAACTACCCTGTGCTTTTCTTAGGACTAAAAAGCTCAGGAAGCTGGTGATGGATGAAAACCTTAGTCCCACTGGCACCGCACGAGGGGCCAGGAGAGCAGCAGCATCTAAGCCACAGGGCGGGGCACCTCAGGCAGGGGCATTCTGAGCTGTTGGGGAGGGGTGGCAACCAGGGTGGGGCAATGTGAGTTGTCGGGGAGGGCATTGTGAAGTGTGGGGTGGGGCATTGTGTGCCACATGCCTGTGCTCCCACCTGGGCCAGTGGGCTTCAGTCTGTAGGTGACTACAGAAGGAGGAGGAGCTCCCTCTGTTCTCTCCTTAGGCAGTTGTGTCTCTCAGCGCTTGTTGGGTTCACAACCTATTAAATAAGCCGGCTGGTCTTCACCCTCCCAGACAAGTCAACTCAGGGGAGGCGGCAGGGCACGGGCCTTGGCCTGCATCCCCATCTGGGGCCAGGGCCGGGCTGTGAGGTAGTCAGGCGAGCAGCGGGCAAGACCATCTCTGCAAGTGCAGCATAGCCTCGGCCTAGGACAGCGGGAGTGTGTGGCCAAAGTTGTGAGCAGAGGCCCAGGTGGTGGCAGACAGTAAGAGACGCCCCATGGGGAACATACTGACCTGTTGTGTGTGCCCCAGGGACAGTCCTGAGTTTGACCAGCAGCAGGGGTCAGTGTGCCCCTCGAAGTCCGACATCTATGAGGCAGGAGCGCCCATGGCTGCTGCTGTACAGCCTGCTGCAGTGACTGTTGAAGTTGGTGAGGACCTCCACATGCACCGCATCCATGACCAGGAGATGCCTGAAGGTAAGGAGGTGATGGGTGCCATCTGCCCTCGTCTTGCCTCTGGTCCCCAAGGTCCCCTGGGAGGCATCGCCCACTTCGAGCTCCTTTCTGCCTGTAGCCAGCTTTCCCGGGGCTGGCCAGGAACAAGAGCTGGCTCTGCCTTGCGTTCCCACCCCTTAGTCTTTCCCCACCGAGTCCAGTCAGTTTCTTTTCGCCTCCCCTCCCAATCGCCCAGTTCTTGCTCTCTCATCTCATTCTCCCAGGCTGCCATGGGACCATTTATTTCTGGCTATTCTTGTCGAATAAGCAGCAGTCGAATAAATGAGTTGATCAATTTTTATAAATGATTACATCTTTTTTTTTCTTTTCTCCCTCTTTACATATAGCTTTGGAGTTTAAACCTTCTGCCAATTCAGAGGCAAGCACAATATTCCAGAGGAACTCTCAAACAGATGGTGAGACAACATTGTCTGTAGCTCTATTTATTAACCTGTGGGACTTTGTTGAGGCTTTGGACCATTTTCTTCCTTTTCTCAATAAAAACTCAAATATCCCAACTTTCCAGCACCCACCTTATTTTTTCTTTGTACCTATCCAGATGGTACCTAAGTGAAGGAACCAGGTAAGTGCCTAATTGTTTCCTTTGTTAAAGTAGCTAAATCTCAGGACAGTTCATATTCAGATATTTGGGGATTTCTTGTTTAAAATCAGAATGGAGGTTGCCATGGGAAAGGCTATATGGTATTCTTAATGGGCTGCTGTAAGTCACCTTGATAGA